GAGGGCTCCCCCCCTCCCCTCCGCAGCAACAGCAACAGCAACAGCAACAGCAACAGCAGCAGCAGCAGCAGCAGCAGCAGCAGCAGCAGCAGCAGCAGCGGACACTTGCTGCCGTCCTCGGGCTCGCAGTCCTGCAGCAGCTGCACGAGCTTCCCCTCCCTGCACTCCGCGAGGATCGCCTTGCAGGAGCTGGGATCGCACGATCCCAGCAAAGGAGAAAGTGTGGGGTGGCAGTGGGGCATTTCTTCTTCTTCGAAACTTCCCAAAGAAGTAAAAGCTGCTGCTCCTTCTCTTGGCAGCAAACAAGTGGGGACTTCGCCGGACAAAACGCACTCTCCAGAAGGGTAGTAACTCGCGAAGTTCACGCCCACGCCCCCTGCAAACCCTAAACCCTAAACCCTAAACCCTAAACCCTAAACCCTAGCCCAAGGGCGAAGCTGCGCCTCCGCAAACCCGAGGGACGCAAACGCCAGACTACGCGCGGGACTGCTTCCCGAGAGCAGCATAGCGGCTGCGGAGAACACCCGGACTCTCTAGGGTTTAGGGTTTAGGGTTTAGGGTTTAGGGTTTAGGGTTTAGGGTTTAGGGGTGGCCTTAAGACCTGATTTAGCTGGCTTGCTGCTCCGCAGCCCCAAAACCCACTGGAGTCTACGCTTCACGCTTCCGGGTTTAGGGTTTAGGGTTTAGGGTTTAGGGTTTAGGGTTTAGGGTTTAGGGTTTAGGGTTTAGGGTTTCGGACCGGATGTGGGTCGGCTGGGGCTGATGGAGGGGAAGTAGTAGCCGGGACTTGCTGCTGCTTCGTCTTGAGTGGAGGGCTGGTCGGAAGCAGCAAAAGGGTTGTTGAAGGCCAAAGCCCAGCAGTCTTCTTTTGCTGCTGCTGCTGCAGTTCGCGCCCCCAGCCGCAGCCGCTGCTCGCTGCAGCGGCCGTCTTCCCACACCCCAAACACCGCGTCCTTCACCGCCTTGTTTGCTGCAGCAGCAGCAGCAGCAGCAGCAGCAGCAGAGTCAGCAGGAAGCGGCAGCAGCAACAGTCACGGAACGGCAACGCAGCAACTCAGCAGCAGCAGCAGCAGCAGCAGCAGCAGCAGCGGCAGAGTGAGCAGGAAGCGGCAGCAGCAACCGCCACGGAACGGCAACGCAGCAACTCAGCAGCAGCAGCAGCAGCAGCAGCAGCAGCAGCAGCAGCAACTTCTCTAGCGCAGCAACTACGCTGCCTCCTTCTGCGCCACCACCGCAGCAGCAGCAGCAACTGCTGCTGCTGCTGCTGCTGCTGCTGCTGCTGCTCACGGCACTTGGTCTCCCAGTCGTCGGGGTGTTCCCCCACGTAGGCAGAACCGTAGACCAAATGGGGGCGGACAGAAACCCTTTTTAAGGGTTTGAAGCAGAAGCGAGAAAGCCCCGAGGGTTTGCCATGAACTGAACAGTATCTTTCGCCCCACAGCCGCTGCAGCGGGACCAGCAGCAAATAACAAAACCCCTTTTTGCTGTCAAACACAAAAGGGTATCTGTAGCTGCTGCCCGGCACTGTCGTCAAGTAACTCATTTGCGCGCACTTCCCCAACTCAGTCCGCGCAGTCACTGCGCGCAGCAGCAGCAGCAGCAGCAGCAGCAGCAGCAGCAGCAGGGAGGCCGTGGGCAGGAGTTGCAGCAGCAGCAGCAGCGGAGGAGGCGGTGGGCAGGAGTTGCAGCAGCAGCAGCAGCAGCAGCAGCAGCAGTAGTATTGCCGCAGCAGCAGCAGCGACGCAGCAGGGGCTCCAGCAGCAGCAGCAGCAGCAGCAGCAGCAGCAGCAGCAGCAGCAGCAGCATTAGGAGGTCTTTCGGTGGGGGGCAAAAGGGAATTAAAGGGTGGTTTCCACTTTGTGCATGCGCTGGGGTGTACGTACACTGGGGGTAGCTGCTGAGCTGCTGCACAGACATCGGAGAAAAGGGAGTTTTGTCTTTCATGAGGAAGTTGTTGTTGAAGCCGCCGGGGAGGGGCTTTGCTGCTGCTGCTGCTGCTGCAGTGGGGACATCTTCTAGAAAGTCATTTTTGTACAAGTCCGAATCTAAAGGTTGAAAAAACTCTATGTTTTTGCCAAAGACTGGACAGCGGCCCGCGGGCTCTCTGTAGAGCTGCCCCTTCACTTCCTTCTCGTTCCCCAGGTCCACGTACACCCCGCTCCCTGCAGCAGCAGCAGCAGCAGCAGCAGCAGCAGCAGCAGCAGCAGCGGCAGCAGCAGCAGCGGCAGCGGCAGGTTCGGGTGTTTATGGACTCGGCTGCAACTCGATGGCAGCACGCTGGATTCGCTGAACTGTGAGGGGGAGAAGAAAGGGCTGGGAAGCTCCTGCTGCTGCTGCTGCTGCTGCTGCTGCTGCTGCTGCTGCTGCTGCTGCTGCTGCTGGGTTGGGGGGCTCTCACCGTGGACTTTGGGAATGTTGAACCTGGCCATGAATTCGGCATAGGGAGGCTCCATGAAGGGATTGGAGTCTGTGGATGCATGCGAGGAAGCAGCAAGAACTGCAGCAGCATGCGAAGCTGAAGTGTGGCCGTGCTGCTGCTGCTGCTGCTGCTGCTGCCTGTGGTGCAGCTTGTGCTGCACCCCTGCTGCAGGCCCTGCGCAGCTGAGGGCCGCAGCAAGAAGGCCCAGAGCTGGGGAAAGCCGCCGCATGGTGCTGGGGGGTCTTTTCAACTTGTGGGATTTTTTCTTTTTCAAGTTTTGAATAAAACCAAACTCGAATGGAATCTCAAGTGACCGCCACTGCTGCAGAAGGGCCGCGCCGGCTGCTGCTGCTGCAGTGCCGCGGGCTGTCTGTCGAGACACCTGAAAATGCTGCCGCGAAACGAGCTGCAGGTGACGGAAGCAGCGGAAGCAGCAGCAGCAGCAGCAGATCTGCGCCTTCCGGGCCCCCAGGCAGCAGCAAATGAGCAGCAGCAGCAGCAGAAAAACAAATAAAAGTCGGAAATTCGAAATTAATTCGCTTTTGAGGCGGAAAAAGATCTGCACAAAAGGGAAAGCAAGGCGAGGAACCCGCGCGCAGACCCGACCGGGGCGAGCCGCTCTCCGGCTTGCCAGAGTTGAAGAAGAAATAAATCCGAAAAGGAAAAAACGGAAAAGAAACGCAAAGTTTTAGAGTTTCTGCAAAGAAAATCGCAAAAAGATATTCTGGAAAGCTGCGGAAGACTGCCGCTGGCGGCCGGGCTGCACGGCCCGACGAGGTGGCTGTACACCCCAGGGGTCGCGCGCGGGAACTTCGCCAAAAACGCAAAGTTCAGACAATTAAAACATTTAAATGAATGCTTTTTGCAAAATTAACCATTAAAATCCAAAAGATCCGCCAAAATGCGAGTCCGGAGACCGTTTACTGCTCGGATCGCGCTGGTGGCGGCTCGCCGCGGACACTGCTGCAATCGACGGGCGATCTTCTTCAATGTCTGCGCGTTTTTCTCTTTTTAATTAAAATTAACTTTTTAAATAACTCTATTTTTATAAATAAATGCTATTTCCCCCTTTAATTCCGCTTTTTGTCGCCGTGCTGCAGACACCCCCCAGACACACCGCGCCCCCGCCTGCTGCTGCGCTGCTGCCTGCAGCAGCAGCTCACAGCGCCTCTGCGAAGCAGAAAGCGACTTCACATCTTTTCGCTTCTTCTTTCAATTCCTTTTCCCAGTTTGCTGCTGCAGCAGCAAGCTGCAGCAGCAAGCTGCAGCAGCAAGCAGCAGCAGCAGAAAGCAGCGCCGCAGGAAGCTGCGCGGCGGCGGGGTGTACGTACACCGCAGCGCCCACGCCCCCTACAGCCGCCATACACCCCGCAGACACAAAAGAGTTTTTTAAGATTTAATTCGAAGCAGCAAAAGAGAAGTTGCTGCTGAAGAAGCAAATAAAAGACTCCACATGCAGCTGCAGCCCTTGCTGCTGCATGTGGCTGCAAGCAGAGGCCACACGGCGCAGTTCAAAAAGTGGAAAGTGCATTTAAATGAAATGCAGATTCGAGAGTCTTCAAGAGCTCGCCTGAGGTGTACAGACACCCGAACCAGCAGCAGCAAACCGCTTGCTTTTCTGATTTCATCGAAAGCGAACAGAAGCGAAAATAAATGCTTTCTGCACACAGGTTTATTAAATGAACTTCTCTGAACTTGGAAGTTAATTTAAATTAATTAATTCCGCCAATTGCAGAAGGCTGCTGCGGCTGCTGCGCTGCTGCTGCTGCTGTTGTTGCTGCGCTGCTGCTGCTGGCCCATAGTTGTGTACAGAGGGCAGCTGCGGGCGTTGGAGTTCGAACGGAGTAATAAATGGTTTAATGGACGCAGAAAAGAATTTATAAATCAAATAAAATGATTTTAATTCAATTTAAATGGCGCAGTGGCGGAGATCGCGCGGATTTGTGCAGAATCTGCCGCAGCGTCTTTTGCTGCTTTCCACTGGGCTGTACGTACACCGCGGCAGCGCGAGCTTCGCTTGCGGGAAAGCGGAAATTTTTGCGCCATTTTTGAATATTTGAATTATTAAAAATGTTTAATTTTGCATTTTAATTGCAGAGTTTGTTTTTAAAGCGAGGATCGGCGGGCTGCGGCGGCGAATCGATGCTGCTGCTGCGGCTGCTGGTCTTGGGCTCCTGCTCGCGGCGGCTGCTGTTGCGCGCCTTTGCGCTGTCTTGGGAGCTCCTTTTGCGCCAAATTCGACACAAAAAAGATTCATTTTCATTTTATTTCATTTATTTCTCCAAATAAAGCCGAGAAATGCAAGTTTCCCCCGCCGCCACCCCCGCTAGCTGCCCAGGGGAGCAGCAGAGGCGCCTGAGGGGCCCCGGCCCGGACTTCCTTCTTTTTGCGGGGTTTTTTTCCCCAATTTGATTTAGTATTTCTTTTCCTTTTCAAATTATATAATTCCTTTCTAATTGACTCTTCTTTTCCCCTCCAGAGCCCGCCGTTTCCGCAAACGCGAAGTTTTCAACTCGGCGAGATGGCTGCCGCGTGTTCCCCTGATTCCAAGTGTACGTACACCGCAGCCCGCGCCCCCAAGCCAAACCCCAGCACTTAAAGCCTCACTTTTATTTTATTTCAATGAAGGATTTTGTCTTCGACTTGGGCTGCAGGGGGCGCGCCCTTGGGCTGAAGAATTTGCAGATTCAGTGCAGGGCCTTCTGCACTTGAACTCGGGCCCTTTGCTTCTTCCTTTTGCTGCTGCAGCAGCAGCAGCTGCAGCAGCAGCTGCAGCAGCAGCAGCAGCCTCTCTTTTGCCTCCAGCCTAGCCAGCTCCTGGGGCCACTTCTTTTTGCTGCTTCTCAGCAGCAGCAGCTGCTGCCAGCTGCCGTTTGCTGCTGCTGCCTTTTGCTGCTGCTTCCTCCCTCGAGTCTGTTCCCCCCAACTCCCCCCAGCAGCCTCCCCCGCTCCCCGCTGCAGCAGCAGCAGCAGCAGCAGCAGCTGCTGCTGCTGCTGCTGCTGCTGCTGGTTGTTGGCTTTTGCTTTTCTGTTTCTCCGAAAATGGCCCGCAGCGCGGGGGCCCTGGCTGTACGTACACCCGAGCTGCAGGAGGAAGCAGCTTTCGTCGACATTGAAGATCCAAAAACTGGAGAGTCTTCATCTTTTTCTTTTTCCTTTTTCGCGAGTTCGCAGCAGCAAACGCAGCAGCAGCAGCAGCTCCAAGCAGCAGCAGCAGCGCAGCCGCTCCCGCAGACCCGCGCAGCAGCCTTCTGCAGCAGCAGCAGCAGCAGCAGCAGCAGCAGCGAGGCCTGCGCCGACCCGTGCCTGCGCAAGCCGCTGCATGCAAGTCCGGCGGCCCTGCATTTCCCCCATGAAAATCAGCAGCAGCAGCAGCAGCAGCAAAAGCAGCAGCAGCAGCAGCAGCAGCAGCAAGGGGTTCAAGGCACTCTGCTTCCGCCGGGGAGGGTGGCAGCAGCACACCCTTTGTTTGCTGCTTATCCGTCTCCCGGCTCCGCGAGTTTGCAGCGGCAGCAGCAGCGGCAGCAGCAGCAACAGCAGCAGCAGCGGCAGCAGCAGCAACGGGAGCAGCAGCAGCAACAGCAGCAGTGGCAGCAGCAGCACCAGTGGCAGCAGCAGCAGCAGCAGCAGCAGCAGTGGCCGCAGCAGCACCAGTGGCAGCAGCAGCAGCAGCAGCAGCGGTTTTCAGCTGGCTCTTTCCATGGGGGTGTCTATACACCACAAACAGCAGCAGCAGCAGCTGCTGCTGCTGCTGCGGTGTATGCGCAGACAGCCCAAACTGCAGTTTGCTGCGGCCCACCTCAGTCTTCTCACTTCTTTACTTTTGATGCTCCAGAGCCACCCGCAGCAGCAGCAGCAGCAGGAGCAACAGCAGCAGCAGCAGCACCAGCAGCAGCAGCAGCAGCAACAGCAGCAGCAGCAGCAGCAAACAGCTGTCATCCCGGGTGCGAGCAGGAGTGGCGGTGGCAAAGTGCTGCTGCTGCGAAGCAGCTCCGGTTTAGTGAAGCAAAAGAAATAAATAAAATAAATAAAATAAATAAAATAAATAATAAAATAAATGAAATAAATAAAATAAATAAAATAAATGAAATAAATGAATTCTTCAACTGCAGCAAAGGCCTCAGCGACTGGCCAGCCGCAACTTCAGGTGTACGTACACCTGGGCTCGCGGCCTTTCCACAGAGCACCCCAAGCAGCACTGCGACTGCAGCAGCAGCAGCAGCAGCAGCTGCTGCTGCTGCTGCTGCTGCAGGAGAAGCGGCGCCGTTTGCTGCTGCTGACCCAGCAGCTGCGTTTAGGCTCCACGGGCCCCCGCTGCAGGCAGCAGCAGCGCAGCAAGCAGGGCTGGCAGCAGCAGCAGCAGCGCAGCAAACGGGGCTGGCAGCAGCAGCGCAGCAAGGAGGGCTGGCAGCAGCAGCAGCAGCGCAGCAAACGGGGCTGGCAGCAGCAGCGCAGCAAGGAGGACTGGCAGCAGCAGCGCAGCAAGCAGAGCTGGCAGCAGCAGCACAGCATACAGAGCTGGCAGCAGCAGCACAGCAAGCCGGACTGGCAGCAGCAGCACAGCAAACAGAGCTGGCAGCAGCGCAGCAAGCAGGACTGGCAGCAGCAGCAGCAGCGCAGCAAACAGGGCTGGCAGCAGCAGCAGCAGCAGCGCAGCAAACAGGGCTGACAGCAGCAGCGCAGCAAACAGGACTGGCAGCAGCACAGCAAGCAGGACTGCCAGCAGCAGCGCAGCAAACAGGACTGGCAGCAGCAGCGCAGCAAACAGGGCTGGCAGCAGCAGCGCAGCAGGAAAAGCTGGCAGCAGCAGCGCAGCAAACAGGACTGGCAGCAGCAGCAGCAGCGCAGCAAACAGGACTGGCAGCAGCAGCAGCAGCGCAGCTTTCTTTTCGCAGCTGTACAGACACTGCAGCACACGCCGAACTGTACAGACACCGCGGCTCTGTGAGCAGCAGCGCGAACACAAGTGCGGGCACTTCTTCGCCGCCGAGCAGCAGCAGCGTCAGCAGCAGCAGCAGCAGCAGCAGCGTCAGCAGCAGCAGCAGCAGCAGCGCCAGCTTCTACCCCCCTCCCGGCAGCAGCAGCAGCGCAGCAGCACAAACATCTCTTCTTTGTTCCCCCGATTTGAGGTGTATGCGCAGCTCTGAGGGCGAAGGCAGCAGCAGCGGCGGCTTGCTGCAGCAGCCGCCGTTTCTGCTGCAGCAGCTGCAGCAGAAGCAGCAGCAGCTGCTGCAGCCAGAGCTGCTGCCCAGCTGCCACACGGCCCGGCAGGCAGCCGCAGCAGCCTGGCCGGAGGCCCCTGCCTCTCAGCGAATCAGCAGCACTCGCAGCAGCAGCAGCAGCAGGAGCAGCAGCAGCAGCAGCAGCAGCAACAGCAGCAGCAACAGCAGCAGCAGCAGCAGCAGCAGCAGCAGCAGCAGCAGCAGCAGCAGCGAGAGCAAGGGACGCCACATTGCCCTTCACAGGCTCCGCAGCAGAAGCAAAGCTGACAGCAGCTTCCAGACGCGACAGACTCGCCACTCGCAGCAGCGAAACAGCAGCAGCAGCAGCAGCAGCAGCAGCAGCAGCACCAGTCTTCATTTTTCAGTGTGCTTTGAAGAGCCGGCGTCAGCTTCCGGTTTGCTGCAGCAGCAGCGCCGGCGGCGCAGCAGCGGGGTGTCTGTACACCGCAGGGCCCCGCAGCAAGAAAGAACTCCCCGAAGCAGCAGCAAACTGCTGCAGCAGCAACTGCTGCAGCAGCAAATGGGGGCCCCCCGGAGGGGCCCCTGGGGAAAGGGTTCAGAGGGCCTCGGGGGCCCCCTGCAGCAGCAGCTGCTGCTGCTGCGGGAGCCAGTGGGGCAGCAGCTGCTGCTGCAGCAAGCAGAGAGCCGCCGCAGCCTAGCAGCAACCAAGGCCGCAGGCAGCAGCAGCAGCAGCAGCAGCAGCAGCAGCAGCAGCAGCAGCAGCAGCAGCAAAACCCCGGAGCTGCTGCGGCTGCTGCGGCCGCAGCAACTGGAGGCCAAGCAGCTGCGGCCCCTGCGGGGCGGCAGGTTAGCACTGCAAACCCTATTTTAGGGTTTAGGTTGCACTTCTTTGTTTTAATGGAGTTTAAGATTGAATTAAATTAATTAAAACTCTTAATGAGTGGTTCAATCGGATTAATTAGGGTTTCTGATTTCATTTAATTAGGGTTTCTGAATGAATTCAAAATTGCAAGAATCCCACCTTCGAAGTTCCAGTAAACCCTAAACCCTATTTTAGGGTTTAGGGTTTGGGGTGTACTCGGGTGGCTGTAGAATCACCGTCAGGCTGAGTGAAGAGTCTGAAATTTTCATTTTTGTTTTTCTTTTTTTTTGAAGTTTAAAAAGCTTTTTTTATATTCTTAATTTTTTTTTGAAGTCCGGATTGCTGCAGCAATTCAGCTGCTGCTCTTTTTGCTGCTGCTGCTTTCTCAGGGCCTGGGGAGCTGCTGAGGCTGGGGCGGCGCTGCAGCACTTGAAGGGCGATTTCAGAGGCAGCAGCAGCAGCAGCAGCAGCAGCAGCAGCAGCAGCAGCAGCGGTTGCTGCTGCTGCTGCAGCTGCTGGAAGAACAGAGGCGTCGCTGGCGCTTTTGCTGCGCTTCTTGTTCTTTACTTAGTTGTCTTGGGGGCTGTCTTTTGCTGGCTGCAGCAAACCAGCAGCAGCAGCAGCAGCAGCAGCAGCAGCAGCAGCAGCAGAGGCACGCTGCTGCTGCAGCCCGCGAGGCACAGCCCCTACTGAGTCCAGCTTTTGGGGTGTACGTACACCTCAGCTCCCGCAACGCGAGCTAGTCCAAAAAGTGTGAAGTTCATTTTTCGTTTTTCTTTCTTTTCCAACTTTGCTTTTAACTCCTTTGACCGATTCAGCAGCAGCAAACGCCAGAAGACACAAGGACTGCAGCGAGCAGCAGCAGCTGCTGCTGCACTGCCCCCAGAATTGCTGCTGCTGCACAGCCAGTACATTTGCGGCTGCTGCACTGCCTCTAGAACTGCTGCTGCTGCACTCCCTCTAGAATTGCTGCTGCTGCGTTGCTGCTGCTGCACTGCCCACTACAATTGCTGCTGCTGCACCACCTCTAGAACAGCTGCTGCTGCACTGCGACGTGACTGCTGCTACAGCAACTCGGGCACTACTACAACTGCTGCTGCTGCTGCTGCTGCAGCAGCTGCTGCTGCAGCAGCTGCTGCAGGGCACAAAGGCTCAGCCAGAAGTCGTTTGATGCGATACGGGTTAGGAGAAATTTGGAAATAAATAAATAAAGAAAAATGCAAAGAATGAAAAATGCAAAATAATGAAAACAGAAGAAACTGAACTGCCCTGGAAGGCGCGAAAGCGGAGGCAGCAGCAGCAGCAAGTGTGGGGCGCGGGGTGTACGTACACCCCAGCGCCCAGAAAGCTCTTTGCCATTTCCAGCAGCGCCCAGCCAAGCTGGGGGCCCTCACGGGGCCCCCCTTTCGAGGCCTTTGCAAATAAAAATGTTCACTTCCAAAAGCAAAAATGAAAAATAAACTTCTCTTCAAACTCCCAAACACACGCTTCCCCTGCACGCCCACTCCCCAGCTGTACGTACACCCCAGCTGTACC